AATGGAAAAATTAAAAAAGTATATTAGAATACCAAGTGGTATAATTTGAGGTCTTTAAAGCACGCGAACGAGTTGCTAATGGCACGACCCGAAGCCGGTAGGCTTAACGTTGCGCAAGTGCTTTTAAAAAGAACAATTTATACAGCGTGTATCTTTAGTATTTTTTGATTGTATACTGTCCAGTATAGATTGTAAAATAGGAAATACAATAAAAATCATATGACGTGTACTAATATACATGGCTAATTAAGTGGGCTGGCGTGTTTTGTCATTTCACGATTTGCTATGGAAGTATCACTGACGTTTGCTTATAAAAATCAACGTCGTTTGTGGAATAAACGATTCCTTGACAATTCAATCCATGTATAAAAAAATCGCATAAGCCTTCAGGAAATTGTCACTTGACAGCGGCAAAAGTTACCTGCAACTTTTCAAGAACAGACGACAAATTGCACTAGTGGTTTTTCACTATTATTTTGCGAACCAATTATCGGCATTATCCTTTCCCATGATGAACTAGTTGACGTCTGTCAGTAATTGATTAAGTTATGTGAATTTCTTGCTTCGTTAAATTGGTCCTGCCGAATTACCCACTCGAGGGTTTTGCATTAAACGAGTAAATTGTGTTATGTTGCAATCCAAAGGCTGTTGCCCTTTAGCAATTGAACTCGAAAAAGCTGTCAACCTAAAAATGCTCCACCTGCGGTGTCGCATTATTTTTAGTGACAGTTTTTCTTTCGTCTAATTGCTAGCAACAATTTTCATTACCTCTAAAACAACCCAAATACTCACTTAAATTGCACAAGAGGTTTGTTTTACCGAGTAAAATTTGGTTGTTTAGGTAATGAAATCTGTTGCCTAGCAAATTAGACGAGAAAAACTGTCAAACTAATAAAATGCGACACGCAAGTGCGAGATTTTTAGCGAGGTTGACAGTTTTTCGACAGTCCAGATTGCTAAAAGGAAACAGATTTGAATTGCCACAACCCCAAGATTTATTCGGTTTAAGATACAAACCTCGAGTTAATTCGGCAGGACCAAATTTATAACGAACAAGAAATTCACCAAACAATCAATTATTGCTATCATATGGGTAAGGAAGTAATGCGTTTATTGGGTCGAAAATGAATGAAATAAGTGAAAAAAAAAACCACTAGGCATTTGTCGTTGGAAAGTTGCATAACTTGCCGCTTGTCAAAAGTGGACAATTACACTGCGGCTTATTGCTGCGATTTTTTATACATGAGTTGAATTGTCGGTAAAATACAACCTCTGCTGCAATTATAAGTGGAAAAAAATAAATACACCTGTCCTTAATCGCTTGTTGTAAAATTTTAAACCAAAACGTTGGTAGGTGTGTAAAAAACCAAATCCAGTAAAGCCATTATAAAGAATATGAAAAGTTGTTTTCCATGATTGAATAGGAAGGTTACTACGAAATACACTCTTTAAAGTGCAATCCATAATGCTGCATATATGAAGGAAATGTCAAAGTGTATTTAAATCTTCATTCATATTTTGGTGCTATTCATTTAAAACTTCTAAAGCAATGCCTTCGATTAAAAAGTGGAACAGATTTGGAAGCAGTTGCCCTAAATTACGCCGCGTAGTGAAAGCTTCAACCAAAGGATAGGATGACAAAGCCAAAGGAAATTGTTCTTTGCATTTACAGAAACCGATCTCTAAGAGGAGTTTTTTATGTCATCCAGATGACAGTATTCAAAAGTCATACTTGAAGTATCGTTACTTAGCAACACTTTAAAAGCAACGTGTGTTTTAAAATACCGATAATACACGATTTTTTTTACAAAAACCATAAATCGATATTGCGTAGAAGTAAAACCCGGTTTCGTTAAAATTGATGCACACGGAAGGTACGATGATTCTGGCCCAGGGACACTACAAAAAACCAATAAAAACGGCCTCCAACGGCTCTGAAGAAACCGTTGACATGCTTTTAGGACTGTTAAAAAACTTGGAGACTATGGAAATTTTTAAAGTTGCTTAAAAAACATTGAAAACTAGAAAACCTTTGAGACTTGTGCAGGCTCCCTGGCAGTTTTAGGAGCCCCTTGTACTTGTGACACTCATTAAACTTTTGTAAGACTAACCATTTTTGAATCCTTAGCTCAAAGATTTGCTTTAGGACTTTCCAAAACCGGTTCAAAAGTTTTTCACGACCTGTGCGAACTAAAAACTATACGTGGCAGACCATTAAAAACGTCATTGGAAGAGGAACCTTTGGCGAAGACTTTGAATACCCTTTGGGGCGAATAAATTCTCTTAAATTTTCTTAAACTTT